CTGCTTCGCCGCCGTCGGCCGCCGGCGGCACGCCGCGACGTGCGTTGTGCGCCGGTCCGCCGCTTGTGTTGGGCGACAATTATAATGACGCCGGCAACAGGACACCGGTGCAGCAGCAGCAAACTTTGTGTGCCTCATCTGGTGCGCCAGCGCCGAAGTCCTCCCGCATGGGTAGTTCCTCCATCGCCTCCTGTAGTTTTGCGCCATCGTACTCCAGCTCAACGGATGCGAGTAGGGCCGCAAGCTCGGCTGCGTGTGCGCCCACGTGGCGCGCGGCGCTCGGGGACGCTGGACAAGTTGCTGACACCTTTTTTCGGCGCGATGTTGGTCCACTCTCCCCACCTTCCATTGCTGTGTCACGGGCACCAACCCCGCCGCCGTCTCAGCAGCAGCCGACGCCATCGCGCACAGCCAATACGCACCTTCACCACAACCAGCAACAAGATCTTATTGCGGGGTCTCCCCACAGCTCGCCGTCGCCTGTGAATGGGCCCTTGACGGTCCCGCGGCAACCCTACAGAGGGGAATCGAATGGTGCTGAAAGGAATGGCATGCGGACGGTATCCGGTGCCATTCTTGTGCGTCGAAAGAGTACGTCCTATTAGATGCATGAGGAAAGAGTGAAGTGACATCCCAAGAGTGATGGGCATTTCCCTTTACTGGTTTTGTCGTATCTCATAAAGCATAAATCGCATACTGGTGTTCATTATAGACATGTGATGATTAGAATCGGTGTGCCGAGTCTTAAGATGCCATCCCTTTTCGCTCATGTGGCCTGTGTTGAGCCGATGTATGTGAGCTTTGTGTGCCTGTGTGTGTGTTTCTTTGTGGGTGCGTGAGGTGTGTCTTGTCATCATGTCACCCCGCTGGGATGGCTGGTCGTTGTTTCGCGCTACACGCTATATTTCTCTCTAGAAATCTGGCTAAGTAGAATTCTTCTCATTCCGCTCACCACCCGTAGTAGAGAGAACCGCGGGTGTGAGAGAGAAAGAAAATCGCTGGGAAACAGGTACAACAGCAACTATCACAAAAGTATTACCAACAGCACCAATAGCTGGAAGAACAAGGGTACAAGGGGGAAAAAACATGTCGCAAAGTAACACCCAACTCTGCGGTGACTCTACCACACCACATTCCTCAGTCGATGGGCGTCTGTCTAGCGGAGCACGGGAAACGAACTCTTTCGCAGACCTCATTCTCGCCCGAGAGAAGCAGCAGCGCCGCATCCGCGAGGCGCTGGAAGATCAGAACCGACAGCTGCGCGCCCGCCTCACCTCTGTAGAGGCAACCAACCGCTCTGGTGAGGCTTCTGCTGCTGGTGGTGCATCGACAGGCCAGCGTCGGGTGGCCTCCCCGGTGCGGCAGCATACTATCCCCATCGAAGAGTTCATCACGTTCGTCACGGAGATGAAGGACCTCATCAACTGCGCCCAGCAGGCGGATTTGGTGGCCCTGCACGCCCTACAGGACCGCGCGGAGCTTCAGAACCGCGATCTGGTGCAACGAATGACGGAGCTTGAGTCGCAGATGATCGCTGTGCAGCGACGTGACGAATTCCGCACGATGACTGGCGACAGGCGTCTTGCCGTTAAGTCGGATGTCAACGCCTCCACTCTGGAAGAGCCGTCCCTGCAATACCTCATGTGTGAACTAGATGACGTGCGCCAGACCGTTGAAGAGACTCGGTCGCGGCTCAGTCAGTCTGAAGAGGCGGTGGAGAAGCAGCAGGCGGTGGTTCATCTCTTCGAGAAGGATCTAAATGCACTAGAAATCAAAATGGTTGACGTCGAGTCTCTGCCGGCACTCTTCAGGCGGGAGACGATGACGCTGGAGGAGCGCTACACAGACTTCACCCAGCACGTGTGGGAGGAGCTCGCAAAACAGCAGCAACATCGACCCCATCAGCAGCAAGAACAATGCACCTCGGACCTGATGGAGGATCAGTTACGGAAACTGGAGAAGCAGGTACAGGCAATGGAGGTTGCTGTAAACACATTGAAGAGGAATACAAATGAGGTAAATGACTTTTCTGGTGGTGACGTGCGCGAGTTGGTGTCGCGCCTAGTTGAGAAGAGAACACAGGAGCTAATGGATACCATCGATAGCGTCGTCCACACAAAGATAGAGGAGGTAAGGGCGTGTCTGCCCGTACAGAAGCAACAAAGCCTCAACGATAACAATGACAAGGAGGCACAGGTGGTGGTGGAGGTGGTGAAGACAAGGGCTGTGGAGGACGATGATTCCGCCAGTGCGACGGCCCTTGTAAAATTGGAGGCCAGGGTTCGGGAGATCGAAGCAAAGGTTGATGCGATGGGAGGGACACGCCGCAGTGAGGCTTCTACGCTGGACGAGGAGCGCGTCGAGTTGTTGATGAAGGAGTTAGAGGGCGCTACCGTTCTGCTGGAGGGGGCCATCGCACGTCGCGCAGCCTCTGCCGGCAATGGCAATGGCAATGGCAGCAGCAGCAGCAGCAACTGTTCTCTATTGGACGTCAAGCAAGTGCTTCAACGTGCAGCAGAGGTTGAGACGCAGGTGCGCACCTTGGAAGAAAGGCTGAATCACGTGATCGAGAATCTGCAGGACGCGCCAGTAGAGCAGATGTGTAATGGGGGCTCTGCAGGAGCATCAAATGTTGCTGCTGCAGCGCCTGCCCCTACCACTGCAGCTGACGCAAGCGAAGAGGCAGCGCCCAATGCAAGCCGGTGGAAACGAGCGTGTCCAAGTTGTCATTTGCAGGAGGCGCCAGACTGTTCCGCTGCGGATGCGGATCTGTGTGTGCAAGCCGCGGGGTGCACTAGTGCAATGACGTACACTGTGCCAGCCACACCGTCAGCGCTACAGGCTAGCCCGAGCGGGGCCCAACTCGCCGACGTGAGCCCATCCGTGCCGCCGCCGCCGATATTTGCGCCCCA